GCGTATGGTTCTTCAATAAAATCTTGTAGATTTTTCAGCGGTTTTTGAGCGCGCGCACATCGTGGGCTCAAATCGAACGTTCAAAAGTAGGCAGCCACCTTAACAACAGCTACAAGAGTCTTCAATTACAGCAAATCCAGGATTTACAATCTTAACAAAAACAATCAGTCTGATACTTYTTTTGTTCCCCTCTTGTTTTTTGTTGATCCTGAATATTTTAAGGATTATTCGTGTCAATATAACTAAGAACTAATCGAAATCGTTATTTTTTCAATGGTCAATAACTTTTAATTAATGTTTCGCTTCAAGCGGTAGTTTCCTATTGACTCTGCAGATAACTCATCCGCTACATCTGCTGTTCTAGCCCCGTGGAAGAGTTATATAACAAAAAGGTGAAAATATACTTTATTTTGTGGAGCAAAAAAATGGCGCAAAATTTAAGTTACTGTTTTCAGTTTACCGAATGGCCGTTGTACCTTCGCCAAATCAATGATGGTAGACTTTTCATCATTCTTGCAGTAGTTAATACAATCTTTGCCTTGGCAGCTCTGATAAGCAACGCCTTGATCGTGGCAACGATTCTKAAAACAAGAAGTCTTCATAATCCTTCTAGTACGTTGTTGTGTAATCTWGCAGTGACAGATATTTTAGTGGGAGGTGTTAACCAACCTTTCTTYGTTGCCTGGCTTGTCGTTGTTCATCAACAAACAACAGACCAAAAGACCGAATGTACACTTGTAATGACTGCCTCAATGGCCTCGTATATTTTCTGTGGTGTTTCTYGTTGTATGACTGCAGCGATAGGTTTTGAGAGATTTCTGTGCTTGTGGCTTCATCTTCGATATCAATCGATGGTAACAGTGAAGCGAGTGCTGGTTTGTTGTGTTCTATTATGGATCATTGCGATTATTGGTGCATTCCTGACACTCATCGACATGTCCTTGTACAACATTCTCGTTGCCTCTGTAATAGTCCTACTTGTAGCAATTACAGTTTTGAGTTATTTACAAATTTATAGAATTTTGCTTCGACATCGAAGATCAATTAAACCGGCCTTGAGGACACAAGATGGAAAGAGCGCTATCAATATTCATCGCGTTAGCAAGTCTTCATGGACGTTTTTCTATGTATTCATTGCATTTCTGTGGTGCTACCTTCYCTATCTTGGCCTTATTGTGTATCGTGAAGTTAATGGAGTAGACAAAAACGTTATATTAGCTACTCTGTTATCAGTAACAATTATTGATGTGAATTCCACATTGAATCCTATGCTCTTTATGTGGAATATGAGAGAAATACGGGTTGGGGTGCTCAAGAAGATACGTAGTCTGTGGTCCAGCGATGATGGCACTTATGCAAATAATTTGAACAACAGAACGATAACAAATTGGCAAACTCGTGGCGGCAATACACAGCTATCTCAGCAACGTTCCTGAACAATCACTTGCAATCAGGCGATCTACAAATAACCCGCAACCTATTGCCAGCCAGTAATATCGAATGTGGACAACAATTCTGTTGGATTTGTTAGTCCCAATAAGGCAATTTGTTCAAGAGTTCAGTATTTAATATAATGATTTTAATATAATTGCCCGTTAGGTTGGGGAGTTTGAAATTATTGGTGATAAAATTGGATCAAAAATAAGTTACGTTATACCTAATGTACTTGGTTATGGATTCAGCTAGTGTTGAACGAAATAGCCACACCACCTTAAAACACTTTTGCAGTGTTAGAACAATACAATACGATAGCAAGTATGACTAAGCATTTTCGAAAGAAATTTTTAGAGAAACGAATCTAAATGTTTTTTGTAATTCAGTTCTGTCACGTGACTGTTAAAAATTGATTAAAAATGAAATATTCGCCATGAGGACAAGACAAGTCAGATGTAATGAATTGAGTGCGCATGTGCTGTTTATAGATCGCTTGCTAATATAGACCAATAGTAAACCTGGGGGGAAAACATGAAACATTTAACAGATATCTGTCAAAAAAAGCAGAGAAACCGTTTGCATGTATGAGCTTTTGTTTGTCGGGAATTTAAGAGCGTTTTTTACTAGATAATGGTTTCTAAGTGCTTTCTTTAACTCCAGAGCTTGCTAACAGACCATTTGCCAAAATGGTGGCTGCGAGAGAGCACCTTCACTTTATTGACCCTTTATGTTAGGAAGATTTACGATAAAACTGCCGTAAGGCATAAGTAAGGCCGTAAGTCAAGTTACGTAATTAGTCAGTTTTTAACTTAAGTTTTCTTGGCCAATATATGATACTTGACATAATGATTCTTTGTAGGTTTACTAAAGTAAAGGTGCTCCTTCTAGTGTTTGTTTACTTTATATATATATATATATATATATATATATGTAAATATAATAATCTACTTCATTTGAGTTTTGGGCGGGCGAAATGTTGGTTTATTGGTCGGAAATTGCTTTTGTTGAGACCAAGATTTTATGTTCTCCCAAATAGCAAGTAGATGTTTTCAGCGAATTTGCATTACAGCAGTAAGAGCATGCGCAGAACGGTCTGATGACAGCTGTCAATATTATTTGTTCAAGTGAATGGTTGTGTTTTGTTCTTAAAGATATGATCACCCTTTTCCACGAGCTAGAGTGTGTCCAACACTTAAATATCTGTGTGTCTAGTATGTTCGCGTAATCATCAGCATCATCACATATCATCATCTTCACCCCCATCACAATGTGCATCATTTACATCATCATGAATGATCATCACTAACATCATCCTTATCATCAACCCGGCCCCATCTCATTCTCATAATCTAGTATTATTATTTTCACCCACATCACTATGTGGATCATATACATCATCATCAACAACATCTTCTTTATTCATGACCACTAGGTATAAGCTTACGGGTTTTTCCTAAAATATATAAGTATCAATATATACTAATAATAATCTTCCGAGATTTGACATGAATTAATATTGATTTTTTTTTTATGTACTATATAGACAATATATTGCTTTACATAGATAGTATAATACTAGCTATAGTTAAAATTTAAACAAAAAATATTTTCAACATAGAACTATAAGACCATAAAATAATGAATATATGCAATRTCCATAAACAGCATTCAACATTCAATTTAGTTAACATAGCCTGCGAAAAAATACCACGATTATCACGTGATATAATCATGTTTAGCTAAATTAAACGTAGTGCCTGAGACCCTTAATAATTTACTTCAACTTGATAGAATCTAGACCTTTTTGTTTACGTATGAATAGCAGATTGTGACGTATCTGATCAATAGTAACTGATTGGGATTCACCAAGAGAATATTATTCACTTAACAAAACTTAATCAATTCGGGGACAATAAAGTGATGATTTTGGTTGTCATACGTAAATCAACGAAAGAAAACTAATTTCTCTCACAACGGTGTGTAATCAAAAACACCGAAATAAACACTATGAATCTAAGATGACTAAATTGCTAATCAAGGTAATTGACAAAGCCAGTCATTGGCTCTTTAGATGTCACATTTTTGATGCATGCTGGGAGGTCCGTTCGATTTACCAAACCCACCAATAGATGTCGAGTTTCAAGTGGATTTTTCAAGTGTCTGAATGATCTCACGCTTTGGATATACATTAAAGAGTCGTAAAACTCGTCAGTTTGATCAAGATTAACACAAAATACGGATTTATTTTGCTGGATATATAGGCACAAGTACAGAGTTAATTTTAATCTAGAATTACCGTGAGACAACTTGACCGGCTCTCTCGAGGAAAACTCTCGTTCATGGTTTTGAAGAAGGCGACAAAAAATACGAACAAACTTGAGATATTTTTTTCAATCCAAGCGAAAGATAAATTGTAAGTCATTAATTAATGGAATATTCAGAAAGGATGTAACCATATAGCAAAACTGTCTTACATCTAGCTAGCTATAGGAAAGGTATTTGAGAACATTATTTCTTCGTTAGACGAAGTGTTTGTTTTTTTTTAAATTAAGCCAAACTATAACGATTTTCAGTACACGAACTATATCAATCATTTTTTTAAATATTTTATTATTCTTTGCTGTTATTTAGAAGAAAGTAAGATTGTAATCGTGTGTGTTGAGCTATGCTTTGTACCGGTAATAGAAGTTCATGATCTTTCGTTATCTTAACTTTCTAGATTGTCTAAAGTAACTTCAAGACTTCTCGGCCGCGGCCAAGACTAATCGAAGTTGATTGAATCTATATCTAGAGGGGGTTTTGTTTTCAGATCCGTTAATTCTCTTAATGATTCTGTTTAGGAACATCAGTTTGAATTCTTTTAATATTAATTTACTTATTTCGCAGATAATCCCCAAGTTTATCGATGTCGGGAATCAGTCTTGACTTTTGGGAAAATACGAATTAATTCAATTAATTCAAAGTCAACTTCTCTTCAAACTTTATTTGTTATTTCAAGTCCATTTATGCGGTAGAATGGTTCTTTTTCTTACCGCTTGACAAGACTGTCCAACTACTTACCCTCGGTGACAAACTGGCTGCAAACTGCATTTCTTATAACACGTTCACAACATCTCATTCTTCAATTGTCTTGAAGTTTTTTTTAAGGCAGAGTACGAAGTCATGTGAATTATTTCCAAGACATATAGGGCGCCGTGTTCAATATTCATAACTTTAAGTGTAGCCGCTAGCTTATCTATCCAAAAAAACTCCCCCCATCAAGTTTTAAATTGGTGCATAAATTTCTCTCTCAACAGATTCAGAACAAACCTGCTAAATCAACTAAAAAGGTCTTTTCCCACAAGAGGTCAGTTTAACRTTTTCTATTTTGTTTAATAAATACATTGTTATAGTTTCTTTTAACAAATTATCTACAAGCATTGAATTCAAATAMAAAGCTTTGTAAAATAGCCTTTTTAATTAAATAAGCAAAAGGGTTTTCTATAGTACTGACCGTGTTAACCCGAGAGATMTTAAATTCGTAATCTTAAATTTTCAAACGGTTTTCTGGATTCGTTTTTTTTTTTTTTTACGTTGCGAGTAAGTTTAAGATTTAAAATACTAAAATTCTTAAAATTTTCCAATTAGCAATGTGATTTATCATAACAAATTGAAATGGTAAGTCGAAACGTACAAGAGCTTGTTCTTCATGCTTATCGTAAACATAACATGTAYCTATTGGCAACCCGCTTATTTYACATCACCAACACCTAGTACCAACTTCTGACACCAWTGTTATAATCAATTTTATCCAGGAAAATAGCCAAAACTCGGCCTATTGGCGTTTTGTAATAACCAATTCTCGTACAAATTACGATCGGAAGTGTTTTTTTTTTAAAGCAATGAATTCGAAAAGTAGCCCCGTCGCTGTTTTGAGGTCTTTTCAAAAAAAAAAAAAAAAAAAAAAACCATTACTTTTTTTTATATTTTTTTAAAAAAAAAAAAAAAAAAAAAAAAAAAAATTATTTATTTCCATAATCAATAATTATTATTTATTTCAATAACTCAGATGGCTTGAACAATCCAACTGAATTACACACTCTCTATGGTTTACGAAGTGTTTCTAATATAACATATAAACTTGAATTTRAAGATGGGGATTGTACTTCGTGTATTCTAGATCATAAGTGACAGTTGAGATAAACAAATTATGGCTTAAAATAAGCTCCGCTACCGCGATGAGGCCGTACAGTTTTTATGATTTTTTGTTTATATTTTGACTCTGTTTGCTCGTAAATTAAAGTGTTTTTAGCTCCTTTCGGCTGCTTAGCATCCTGCTGATATCTTCACTATCCACTACGCATGCTCCATTCCTTCTTGCTTCTATTTATTCTTTTTCCTAAAAGAAAAGAAAATCGACAAAATATTTTAAACAAAAGTCCTCAATTCCAAATGGTAACAGTCCCGGGGTCATTTTTGAGGACATCAGGTGGGGAAACTGTAAAAAAAAAAAAGCCATTCAGAGTTGTCGTCAGCTGAAGTCTTTCCTTAAGTGTGGGGGATTGTATCTTTACTGAAGAGACAATGTTTTGGTCATAGCTTTGTAAACTGAAAATAAGCTACGTTCATTAAGATTAAATAAGAAATATCCACAGAATYGTGCATCAAATCTTTAGCATCCTCGATCAAGATGAGCCAAAATTGACAACCTTTTTTCGGTCATTTAAACAGAACAACAACAACAGCAAGACACGAATCCGCCTGATTTTTATATTAATTAGGTTTCTATTTGWAAAAGCTAAACTCTCTTAGCAAAAAACAAATCCAGAGAGATCTGCTTGACAACTAAAGGTGTCATTGATCAAGTACTCTACAATTCATTAGATTTTCTTTTACATGTTTATATACAATTTTGTATGAGCTTATTCCACCTCTGGTTTAATTACTACCTATGTCCTTGTAATCTTACACTTTTTGTTGCGCGATACAATTTAACAGGTTTTTAAAAATATTTTTTATCAAGATTTCACTCCTCACACGTTAGACTGATCCGAAAAAAAATGTGCTATTACTAAGATAACGAAAATGCTTTGCTGCTTTGGTTTAAACTTCGAATTCAAATTGATTTAAAAAGAAAACATATTCTTTAGTTTTAAATTTAAAATTAAAAAACCAAAAATAACAGCATATTGTTATGTTTGAAAAACAAGACTTTTCAACGCAGCGGGAATTGGTTTTTGATACATATCACAATGACAGCCTGACACACAGTCTTAGCTAAACTGCTAATTTAGATTATAATTTTTYTCTCCACGACTCGCTTCTCTTAAGAGACAAGAGACAAGAGTCAATGCTAGGATAATTCAGGATTAGAGCAGTTACTTTTGAAAACGAGAATGAAACAATTTTGAATGGCATGAAATTATTTTACAAACATAAATACATGTGACCTGACAAGAGCTTATTAAAAATAAACAAGTTTTATGTGGSTTTGTGGATCGAAAATGACAAGTGAAGCTAGTCTTTAACTTGGGTCAGACAGAAGTTGTTCAAGAGTTTGTGAGCAAACATTAACATCAGTGAACTGATAACTTAAGGCACAACGTAAATGAATCCGAAGAATYATCCGCTTTTTTAAAACAATACAAATATACAATTTATTAGGAGAAAAGGTTTCTTATTTGCTGGCGGGTTTTCTTTTCATAAAGCGCTAATATCCGCCTTTTTGATGCGATTGATAATAATTTGTTCAGCCGAAAGCTTAGAAGGCTTGCCCATGTTTATAGTCTGGAGAATCAAATTGTCGTTATGATAATATGGAAAAAATACATATAATGATTGTGTACATGTGGGCTTGTGTGTTATTGCGTTGAGGCTTTGATTGATTACACACTATCCAAATAGCACTAGCTTTGTAAAGAAATGGCTCTGAAAACTAATAAAAKCAGTTGCATCCTTGTCAAAAATTCCCGCTCTGAAATAGATAACTATGACATTTTGGGATCAGTATACATTGCGCGATCCTTTTGGCTGAAGTAACCCATCGCCTTACTAATATTAAGAAAAAAATTGTAACCAACCAGTTGACAAAAAAATCAGATGAAAAACCTACTTCCTGCAAGTGTCAATTGGATGGTAATTTTGAAGTGAAACTCGAAATAAGCTTGTCCGATATTTTTCGTGGCATGCACCTGGTTGATTGTCACCCACATTATTATTAAACCGAAATAACCTTATTTTTTTAATCGTTTGGAACTAACGTCATAAGACAAACCCGACAATGCCATATGCTCCATATCAAAACCATTAGCTCGCCGAGCTTTCAATACCAAAAAGTGTAAAATAATACAAGGCGATCATTTTGAACCAGAATGGCTTATGACCAACTTGTATTGGATGTTAGTGTATTGGATTCTATTCTATATTCGTGAATATTTTATCTCTTTTACTAATAGTATATATAATATCTATAGCTAAGCATTATTGCTTTTCTCTTCCACAGTGCAATTAGCGGTGTGTCTGTGATAAAGATGGATGGTTGGTGATTTCTAACTCGTTCCTAGGAATAGTACATTTATCAGCGTCGATAAAACTAAAATGAGATAACTTTCTAGACCCAATTCATCCATATATATGTACAGTGACGAAGGTTCGGCTATTGAATGTGAACCATGGTCGATAATACAAGCAATGCTACTTTACAAGCACAAGAAACAACCCCTGGTAATGGACTTTCAATAATAGTAATATCCTCATCATGGGCTGTGTTAGGGATCTTGTCTGCTGCTCTCAACCTCTTGGTCTGTTACGCTGTTTATAAGGTCAAGAAACTACGCACGGTGACCAACTGCTTCGTAGTAAGTCTCTCTGCTGCGGATTTATTAGTAGCCATGGTGTTCACGCCCATGCATATCATAGAGCAATACRCTAAAACAGTTGTGAATGGCTATCTCATCGCTTTTATATTACTTGCATCGATTTTCAATCTTGCAGCAGTCACCTTTGAACGTTATATTGCACTAACACGACCATTTCAGTACCGTTCACTTTTAAGCTCTCAGCGAATCACCCTTATCKTAACTATCGCTTGGCTTTCTCCATTAGTGATTTCACTGTTGCCTTTGGCATGGAAAACCAACACASACAGTGTCTTCCATACAATTTACCTAGTCGTTCTTGTTGGGGTTTTTATTTTATTACCTATTGTGGTTATGATTTGTATTTACATGCGCTTACTTGGTGTAGTAAGAAGCTTTATCCTAAGGAACAGAAGTAGAGCGAGTATTGGGAATGCAACTGGAACACGCGTGGGAAGAGAAGAAAAGGCTGCCCGAGTCTTCGCTTTTGTGTTTGCTACATTTCTCATTTGTTGGGGGCCTATTATTTACATAAATATCTGCATTGTGGCCAAAGCCACTCAGTTCGTTTCAAAGGAACTTCTTTTTGTTTCATTTTACACACTSCAGATTAACTCAATAGTTGATCCGGTCATCTATGCCTTTTTTAAGAGAGACTTTATCAGAGCTCGGAATCAACGGCAAAACTGCCTTTGCTGTGGGGAACCGAAGTCCGAAGATATATCATCGGAGATAGTTTTACAGCACGCTTCATCACACCGACAAAGTATTGTCTCTCGATCGGTTGGAAATCATTCATATAAACATCATCGGTAACTGACAGGAAAACCAGTTAGCTGTAACCCTAGCCGTTCAGTATTGGCCGCGCTTCCTGGGAAATCAGTACAAGACACTGTGATAAAGAATTTCAGACGCTCTATTGTTTTTCTCTTTTCTTATTCAATCGAATTGAATTTGAAGAAGAAGAGAAGGAGATTAATGATAAATAGAATCCAAACGAACTAATGAATGAATGAATAAACACGTCTTTTCTGACATGTGTAAATTTACCTCGCTTTTTGATTTATCAGCTACTTCACTCTATTTTCTACTGATATAATAACTTGATTATTTCTTGGTATCAACCGATCTTATGACAATACGAATTTACTAGAGCATTTTATGCCCTGTTTTCCTGCAGATTATGGTGTCTCATGAGATTTTCGCATTAGTCGAATTAAATCAAACGGTGTGAACCACTGACAATTGGTGTTGGGGAAATCAAAGAAATGCGGCGAGAAAAAGAGTATATAAGTAGACTACRTATGTGATTTATAGAATGCGGTATAACAGCTTCCAATGATTTCAAATGAGACACTGATTAATATACCAGTAGTTATTTTCCAAGGAAGTCAATAAAACAGCAAATCCTACTGATGATAAAAGCTTGTGTAATAATTCAAAGTTTAGGCAGCAATATGAAAGTCATTTGTGTGTTTGTCCAATTTCTCTCTGTCCCCAAGCTTCCCGTCAATAAAGACGTTCACACTTCAGTWCTTCAGCAATGAACCCTCAAAAAGAACTTTGGATGCGAGGCTAACTTGAAAATACAAAAGAAATCACACTTTTTCTCGATGGAAATTGTGGCATTGCTTCTGTATTTCTATGTTATTCTCGCATTCAAGATGCTTGTGAGAACTGTCCAAGTTTGCCTTCATCTTGAGACAGCAGTGTGGCTTAAACGACTGACGTTCAGTGTTTCTCGATCAACCAAATATCATGCTCTCTCGTCAGATTTTGAAAGCGAAAGTTTGAGACGTTCGCATTTCATAACTTAGAAATAAGATGAACCTTAAGTTGAAAGAGTCATTATATTACCGTCACCCTTTGTTTGTTGAAATTTATGTTATTACAGATTCAAATTGAATTGATAACTCTCATCCAAAAAAAAATATCAGCATACAATGTTTTACTACTATAGGGATGTCTTGGAAACAATGTGGTTGCTTTGGAGAAGATTTTGGCCAGCGTGCAATGGCGTAGCGAGTTCTTGACCACAAATAAGGCAAGTACCATTTTCCCGCCAATACACGCTCGCGTACGCGCGTTTCGTCACCATCAGGGCTAAAAAATCATTCCCCCAAATGAGAGGAAAAAAAATTCCACTTTTTCTTTTCCGGATAACATGTCTGCTGGCGTGAAAGCACTTAGGAACTCTACAGAAGATCACTAACTGATATGGCCAAGTTTGAATATTGCACTATAAGTGGCCGCCATTGGAAATCAGTCAAAATGCCTTGTTAGACTTCAGTTTTTGATTTGCCGAAGCCGAGTCTAAACGCCGGTGGTGAACTGCGTGCCTAGCCAACCCTGGGTAGTAATTCAGTGCCTCTCATTGACTCTTGTTTAGGGTTGGTAATGATATTCATTCATTTTGCTGATTGATACCAAGATATAGAACATCCTTCTTGGCTGTAATATGCTACTATAGAAGAGAAAACTATATTTAAACAACGGCGCCTGGCTTGAAGTTTGAAGGCGAATTTCTTTCCTACCATAAGTTTGCTTCTCATGACATAACTTRAACTTATATAAATATTACAACCAGTCACTCCCCGTAACGGGCTATTCCGTTTGCTTCACAAGCGGCAACGTTACTCTTTTTYGTTTAGTGACCTGTAAATTATCCTTGAAGAAGATTTGCAAATTTTCTTGATTCTAGCTGATTKGCTTAAATTTTTTCGCAGATCAGCTGGATTGTATACGATTGCATAAAGCATACAACACATATCAGTGATTGTGGCATCTTCTAAATGAAATAATTTCAGGATCACTCTGAAATCCTGGATATGGATATGTCAGGTGCTATACTGATTCCGTCGGTCATTCAAATGACTGCATCGTTTATCATTGGAAAAGGTTTTTAATCATTGTTTCTCTAAGGATACAGGTTTAATGATACGCCTTAAACATTGTCGTAATGTCCTAGTAACATGGTGCTCTAAACACCTTGAAAGYGCTGATTGGAGCTTTCGGAATTGTAGTTGAAAAGAAAGTAAAGCGATCCCGCCTAAATTAAAGTTCAGCCAGGATCCTTAAAAGCTTTTGGAAAATGARACTATTGAGGAAATGGGTAAAACAGATGCTAGTTATTTATATCCAGAACATTCATCATAGTCACATGAAGCTCGTTAATCTCGAGTACCAGCGAGTGTAATGTATTCAACAACAAGTTAGATGTAAGAGCATCGAGTGGTTTGCGAAGAGGACCGACTCTTCTTGGTTTTCTAAACGAAACGATGAATTACAGATGAAACTGTGGCCTTAAAATATCGTTTGCTGGTTTCCGTACTCCATTCTGTCTGTCTGTCTGTTTGTCTGACCGCAGACCTCCTTACCTTGGGCGTAATTGCCCTATTTCMCTATGACGTCACTGCTTGTTTATGTGGGGGATAGAATCACCAAATCCAATAGAACATTCAACACAATTTGCTCCTAGCGAAACAGTTTAATCTAAAATGGCCTGGTTTTCAGATATAATATGTGTTTATATGTACTAAAAAATATTCTGAACGTTTGCTGGYTATTCTACTTCTCTTCGTGGATTGATACGGGTTTTAGAACAATTTTCGGTGAATTTGCGTTGATTTAACCCCCTCCAACGACCATGATCCTTTGCGTTTAAATAATAGATTGTTTTGATGTGACGTCATAGTGAAAATAGGGCAATTGTTTTCCTATTTCAGACAACTTGAGTTATTCTCTTGAGAAAAGATTGTCGAAATTCTCATTCATATTGTTTTCTCAAGCGTCACGGGTAATCAAAGTAATGATACTCAAGGAAATGACACGTAGTGTGAAATGAGTTGCGAGCCGGAAATCATTGCACCCAAAGCCGACAAGAGGGTGCCTATGCTACTAACGTTAGACCATTCGTCAGTCAGATACTACTTTTTGGCCAATTCCCAGTTAACATTAACCCCATTGGCACTCTCCCACAGATCAATAAGAATTGGGACTCAATCGTCAGTGAAAATCTGGATATCGAATCTCAACATTTTTGCMGGCAATATGCCAATTATAGAAATCGCCAGACATGTACAGTAGGGATTATGACTGGATTGATCATCGAATATCAACAGCTCGCGAACTGGCCATGTAAACGTACAATAACTGATATATTAAACTACTGAACTAGGAATAATACTAACTGCGTTTCGAGTTTCACAGTAGTGGCCGCCATCTTGGAGTTAGAATGTGATGATATTTTCTAACTGCTCTTTTTTGAGTGTTATAAGTCGACTCTTTTTGCTTTAGAGTCACAAAACAAGAACAATAATATCAACAACAGCTATAACAAAACAAACAAAAAACAAAAAAACAAAAACAAAAAACAAAACAAACAAACAAACAAAAATAACCCATGCATCAAGACTCTCTTAATACTGGACACTTTTATCTTGGGCGTAATGTTTTCCCATTCCAGACCACGTGTCATTCCCTAGAGTATCATTTCCTTGTTTAACGGTTGCAAATAAGAAGACATATGGATATAACTGCAACGTAGAATCTTATTCTTGAGAATGACTCGTTGTTTGAAATGGGAAAACMTTACACTTAAATGTCATTACCGGAAGTTTATTTAAATTTACAACATTTCAATTTATTAATCGTTGTTTAARCTAATTTAGAATGTTTGGAATGCAAGAGTTACATGCCTAGAGAGCTACTTTTAACATCAACTAAAACAGTCAGTTTCTTTGCAGTCTGTATGGATGATTTAAACACGAGGATAGGTTTCCTATGAGTGGGCTAGCCGATGTATCATTATAGGGCAGGGCAGATTTAGCGCCATTTAGTCAAATAAGATACATCTATTTGAAACAGTGTTGGTGAAAATTGTGTTGCATGTTGCACGATGTTTACCAAGCTTTAAATGTTTTGCACACATTTCTAGTGGACCCTTCTCAATGGTATCAGGGATGCGAGGCTAACAAGAAATCACAAAAGAAATCACTCTTTTTCTATGGAATATGGCATTTATTTCCATGTTTGCCTCACATCCATGATAGTCTTGTACTTTCGTATGAAAGGCCCATTAATGTCACCACGAAAAATATGCCAGAAAAGCGTGCAGACAAAGTTTTGAAAAACTCCATAGTGTTATAAGCTATTGCTGTTTGCATTCAAATCGCCCATAGTGCATTTCGGATTTCGATTTGCAACATGCAACATGCACTCTTCCTATAGTTCTTTTAAGAGTTCGATAACCAGAATGCATTGTGGTCTAGGTTCGGTACAAACAACACCATATAAGGCATGATGAAAAGCAGTTCGTATTGAAACTAGACCATAATGCACCATGTTCGCTATTTCAGAAAAGGTCTATACAAAACGATTGCTTCTYGTCCGGTGATTGGACAAGGCAGGAGCGGGAACATGCAGGACTTGCGTTTTATCATAGAAACATACACCTCCAAATCCAAAATGGCGCACGGCCAAGTGAGTTACATGAAAACGATGCATCCCGGGCCAAACGCAAAGAAATAATACGCTTTCTCTCTTTCTTTCCTACTTACATTCAGCAAAACAACAATTTCCACGCTTCAAATCATAAAATACTGTAAATTTGGCCTTGGATGCCTCGTTTTCACCTGTCCAAACGCCATATTTAGACTGTGGTGTATATATACATATCTATATCAAGCTTCCCACTCACAGGAAATTCATCTTATTTTCATCAAGTTTACCAATACATTCATTTTAAACTCTGCAAAATAATTTGTTAATAATAAGTTGGTTGAGACTGAAGCGGTCTCCTATGGCTCCCAGACGTCTTGATATATATATATAACTATTTCAAAATAGGTTGTCGAAGCTATAGGAGAAAGGCAATGGCTACACTCCTGGTGATTCTTATGATTGTCCTTGTCAATAAAATGGAGGTTATACTACTGTCAAGATATCCAGTGTTGTTTGTAGTTGTAGAACCATTACTGCTGATTTTGATATTGTGCGAAATCAGACATTTCAACGGCTTATTGTGAAATTGTTTTTTTACTGCAGCTAATCAAGTACAGAGAAGGTACCGACTGGTTATTTATGTTTGACAGCGGCGAAACAAAAAACTAATTTTAAGCTACACTGAGTTCACAGAATATCCTAAACCACAGTAAACACGTTGATTATTCAAGCTCAGTTGCATACCCACAATTCCTTTCCGTCTTGGAGCGAGCTATTGTCTAACTCCTGGTTAGCGCAGACAACCTTTCTTGAAATAGGTGTAAACAGTACTGTTTGTCAATCAGACTATACTCAGGGTTCGTGCTGAGGTAAYCACTTAAAATTCAAGGACTATTCAAGGAGTATACAAGGACCCAAAAATGAATTTTCAAGGAGTATGTTTAGCAAACTTTATGCCAAGGTTTTACACAGTGGTTGCACATGGCCGACTTTCAGATTTTCCATTCTTTCTGACTTGATCTAATGCAGAACCATACAAGCAATGATTGAAGCAAAAATTCAAGGAGTTTTCAAGGAGTTTCGCTAAAATCATAAAATTCAAGAGCTTTTCAAGTGCCCTTAAAAACGTGAATTAAATTCAAGGAGTTTTCAAGGAGTTTAAGGAGTAGCACGAACCCTGTATACTTGATATTATAACATGGTTGACACTGATCCAAAAACACTCTGGAATATTCCTACCACCGCTTTTTAAACCTCTCTTTTTCTGTTCATTTTAAAAATTGTACTTCATGAAATGACCATTTAAATTTTGCTTGTATTTGATTAAACAATCCTTAGCTAGAGTCCAGTCCTCACAGCAACCTCTAAAGGATGAACTTGCCCACGATAACTCCAAGAAGAAGCGCCAATACTACGTAAAGAATAGGTAGYCCTACGACCATTGAGTTATCTGTTCTGGGTGGGGCTCGATACATTTGGACAGGTGGGACTTTCGTTTCCTGGTTRGCCAAGTTTTTTCTCAGTCTTAAAGATTCCTCCTGTTAGATATATAAGACATTATAAAATAACTGCTGTAAATCTCGCAATTTGATTGGCTAGGAGCGCGTGCTTTATGAGAGCACACAGCACGCGCGCGCACTTTCAGTTTCGTCATTCACGTAATTTGTATTTTATACAAAAAAAAAAAGAAAACTTGCTTGCTGTGCTGTGTGGAGTTATAAAGCACTTGGGGATTGACAGAACACTCGAGAAGTGTCCAGAAGCACTCCGCTGCGTCGCGCTTCTCCTAACACTTCTCTTGTGTTCTGCCAACCCCCGCGTGCTTTATGACTGCACACAGCACGCGCGCGCGTTTTCTATTTCTTCATTGAGTTACAGTAGCTGAAAATCAATGATAAATCTGTTTTTTTTAGGCATGTGTTCTCTTACCGCTAAACGGACATTCTCTTGTCGCAGCTTTACTAATTCTTCGTTGTCATTCTTGTCCTCTTTTGGCTAAGAGKGAAAATGGAAATGGTTAAACCGGACAACAACATAACAACATTTTTAAGGGAAGTAGGAATCAAGAATGGTGTATCGGTAGTGCACGCTCATCTCGGGTTTGATTCCTAGACTTGACATCAAATGTGAATAGTAACCTTTYAACACTTTTAGATAAGGTATTCAATCTAATGGCCATGCTATACCTGTGGTGTCTTTAAAGTATCAGAGAATTGTTCAGGAGATGAGCTATTCCTGACATGTTGTACTGTTGGTGATCGTACTGGGTTGCCACTAGCTGAGCTTGGTTCTGGACTTGCTGAAGGYTCACTCTTACCATAACTGGTTTTACCTGCCTGAGGAGTTTCCTTTGTTGATGTATCACTATTTTCCTGATATAAGATGAAGTTGCAAAACAATAGACAAATTAAGAGAAATACGTATTTCATAGTT